CGATCGACTTTGACGCGGGTCCGAGCAGGGCGGTATGTAACAATGGTACGGCTACGCTGGGTACTACCCCGGGTGGCAGCTATACCTACTCATGGGCGCCAGCTAATGGCGCCTGGCAAAACGGGACCAATAATACAAGCGCTAATCCGCAGGTATTGTTTGCAGGCGCTTCCCAGACCTTTACGGTTACCGTTAGCGACCCGGTCAGCGGTTGCACACTTGTTGATAACGTCACACTTTCCGGCACAGTGGCCGCAGGAAGTTATGCCGGTCCTGCAGCCGGACCGTCCTGCGCGGGCATACCTGCGCAACTGGGTGTTGCCAGTGCGCCCGGGGCAAGCTATCTATGGACACCAGCTACAGGGCTGAGCGCTACCAATGTTTCCAACCCCATAGCCACACCGTCAACCACCACCACTTATACCGTTGCGGTTAGCTATCCGGGCTGTAATACAGCTTTAACAGATCAGGTCACCGTAAGTGTATTGCCTGTTACGACGTTTGATTTTACGGATAAAACGATCTGCCCGGGCACGCCTGTTAATATAGGCGTCGGCGGAACCGGCAACCCGGCATCCATTGCCAATGCCGCCAGCTATAGCTGGACGCCTGCTACCGGCCTGAGCTGCACCAATTGCGCCAGTCCAAACGCAAGTCCGCAAACACTTACCACCTATACCTGCACTGTGACGTTTGCAAACGGCTGTAAAGCCCAGGACAATGTGACCGTAACACCCACTTTTGCGGCCAGTGCAAAACCTGATGCGGTGATCTGTTCGGGCGGCTCGGTGGTATTAGGCCAGGCGGCTGTTGCGAATGTGACTTACTCCTGGACACCTGCTACCGGCCTGAGTTCAGCGACTGTAGCACAGCCTACTGCAAGCCCGTCCGCCACTACTGATTACACACTCACGGCTACAGGTACCGGCGTGAATGCAGGATGTGTCATAACAGATGCAGTGCGTGTAACCGTTAATGTGCCGACGCCTTTTACAATAACCGGGAACGCATCTCTATGTGCCGGAGGAAATACAACCATTGGTTTTACCCCTGCGAACGCAAATATGCTCTACCAGTGGTCGCCGCTGACAGGAGTGGCCAGTCCTAACCAATCCAGTACAATGGTGACACCTGCAGGTACGCAGGTATATCGCCTCGTACAAACAGACCTAGCAACCGGCTGCAGCAATTATCAGCAGATAAAGGTGACCGTATTACCCAATACGATTACCGCCAACGCAGATACAACAAAGACTTGTGTGAATAACGGGGTGGCGCTGCCATTGGCAGTTACTTCAGCAGGTACTTATACCTATAGCTGGTTACCGGCGTCCTTCCTCTCGGATCCCTTTGCGAAAAACCCGACGACCTACGCCAGTAACACAACTACCTATACGGCTACGATCACTGATAATACCAGCAACTGCCAGTTACTTGTAAATGCGCCACTGGTAACAGATGTTTGCTTTATGGCAGTAAGTGGCAATGTTTTCCATGATGCCAATGGACAAAGTGATAATACTGTAAATTCAACTGCTGCAACCGGCAATCTTCCTACTGGAATGTACGTTTCACTGGTAGATGCATCTAACAAGATTATTGCAACGGTAGCTGTGCAGCCGGATGGTACTTATAAGTTTGAAAACGTGCCGCAGGGTACCTATAGTCTCGTGTTGACCAACGACCCTGCGGGGGCGGTAACCCCGGTAACCCCGGCAGGCTGGCATAGTACCGGTGCTCATCTTGGTACCGGACCCGGCACCAGTGGTAATGGCGGCACCTTACCCAATATAACCGTAGGGACGGAAGACGTGACCAATGCTAATATCGCGATACAACAACCACCGGTTGCCGATCCGAAAACACATATAATTGCAACACCTGTAGGCAAGAGCAGCCTGCCACTCACTGGTACCGGCGCCGTCAATGCTCCCGGCCCGTTAAGTGGTACAGACCCGGAAGATGGCATCAAAGGCAGTGGTGCAACCTTTACTATAACTGATCTTAGTAAAATGAACGGTAATGAGCTGTACTA